GATAGAACTACGATTTTTGGTAATTATTAGTGAATAAAGGTTTTGATTTGCAATATTTATACAACAAATCGATATGTGTATGTATTTACATCAATATGTTTTAAAAAATAAAATAGAATTTGCTAATATTAAGTGATAATATTAGGATTAGTGTGAACAACTAGTTTACATGTTAGGCTAACAGTGACTTGGTTAAAGAGCCTGTTGCTGTTTATTTATAGCTTTGAATTCTTTAAAACCAATATTATCTTCTTAAACTTGTATGGTAGTCAAGAGCATCACTTTCTAATGTTTATTGATATATTTAGAGGGAGGGGATCTAAAGTAATGCTTTAAAATTCAGATTAGATTAATGTCTACCATTTTCTTAAAGTCATGGTAGTTTCAGTAACCATGGTAACTGAGGACACGAGTTATCTAAATGACTAATGTCATCTTTATGGCTTTCAGAAAGGACAGGAGACCGACAGGTGACTATCAAAGGACTAGCAGCAGCATGATGATGATGATGATGATGATGATGATGATGATGATGATGATGATGTTATGTGTTTTAGGAACATCCATTGCAAATACATGGAATTCAATAAACATTGAATAGCATATCATACAGTTTGTCTGTGCCTTTTCCTCCGTGTTGTCCTGGTTTGCTGTGCTGCCTCCTAGTCTCCACCATGGTGTGCTGTGCTGCCTCCTAGTCGCCACCATGGTGTGCTGTGCTGCCTCCTAGTCGCCACCATGGTGTGCTGTGCTGCCTCCTAGTCTCCACCATGGTGTGCTGTGCTGCCTCCTAGTCTCCACCATGGTGTGCTGTGCTGCCTCCTAGTCGCCACCATGGTGTGCTGTGCTGCCTCCTAGTCTCCACCATGGTGTGCTGTGCTGCCTCCTAGTCTCCACCATGGTGTGCTGTGCTGCCTCCTAGTCTCCACCATGGTGTGCTGTGCTGCCTCCTAGTCTCCACCATGGTGTGGCTGTGCTGCCTCCTAGTCGCCACCATGGTTGCTGTGCCTGGCCTCCTAGTCGCCACCATGGTGTGCTGTGCTGCCTCCTAGTCTCCACCATGGTGTGCTGTGCTGCCTCCTAGTCTCCACCATGGTGTGCTGTGCTGCCTCCTAGTCTCCACCATGGTGTGCTGTGCTGCCTCCTAGTCTCCACCATGGTTTGCTGTGCTGCCTCCTAGTCTCCACCATGGTTTGCTGTGCTGCCTCCTAGTCGACACCATGGTTTGCTGTGCTGCCTCCTAGTCGCCACCATGGTTTGCTGTGCTGCCTCCTAGTCGCCACCATGGTTTGCTGTGCTGCCTCCTAGTCGCCACCATGGTGTGCTGTGCTGCCTCCTAGTCGCCACCATGGTGTGCTGTGCTGCCTGGGGATGCTCCAATCGCTCAGAGAAAGGTGTACGAATGTACGGCTTCCCCACTGACACAGAGCGGAGGAAGCAGGAGCAATTTCACGACCAACAGCAACAAAATATGTGATTTATATACAAACACTGCATTTGCACTTTTTCACAAAACGAAAACCACACCATTGGGAAAGCTTAATGTTTTGTTTAATACAAAAAACAGGGAAAGGCTTGAAAAACACTGAGAGTTGAGACTCAGGGTGCAGGGTGAGGGTCTCAGTGCAGGTATTCAGGCTCCATTGAATCCCCCTCTGGTTCTTGTGCTGAAAGAGGGAGTAACAGACAGGAGAAAGGGTTATACACACCTATATAGCACACCTATTGGATGGGAAATTGCCTTGGGGAGATAAGGTGTGGTCTTTGTTCCCAACTGAAGTTATGGAACTTTATTATTTGTGAGTTTAACAAAGTATGACAAATGGCATCAGTAACAGATGTGATATGAATTTCTATAAAGTTGTCTCACATTCTTGGTCATATTGTATATACAGTATGTAATGAGTATAACATGTCCAGTAAGTATAAAGTGTTTCCTAATACTGTGTATTCAACCACTATGGAATATGTATGTGGGCAGACAAAACTGAGTTGTTCTGTGTGTGAAGTAACCTCAAGTCACTCCGCAGGCACATTTTGATGCAGACCAGTTTGTCAAGACAAAAAAGGGCAAGACTAGGCTGAGAGCAGAGGCTATACCCACCATCTTCGTGCATCGCCCTGTGGTCAAAAAGAGAAGGGCCCCTGCACCACGATTCACCCCGGGACCTGTATCTACAAAGCCCATAGCTCATGATCACAGCGATAGTGTGAAAGGTGACACAGGTATAATAAGTATGAACTCTTAGTAACAAAAGTAATATTTCTTATTTTTAAGTGGTATAATATTTTAAATGTTCGAACATTTACAGTGCCATGTCTTCTACTTACATTAGTCTCAAAGATTGAGGGAAGAAGGGAAGGGATCACTGCCCTCCACCTGCCAGAGGAGCGCAAACAACAAAAACAAGCAAGGTGTCCCGTCATGTACCTGGAAGTTTGGGTTGGCAAAATGGAGTAAGAGAGGGACTTGAAAAACCTTGGTGGCTCTCTACTCCTGTTGTTACAGTTGTCTTGGTTACAGCTCTCAAGTTTTTTTTTGTGCCATTTCCACATCTTTAGAAAATATGAAAAAATGGAAGTGAAATCAACCTCTTCTCTGGAGAACAAACTTTGATTTCTCTGTCTTGTGAGTTTGCAGTCTTGCAGTTTTGCTCCTCCACCTGTAACATCACTGCCCCTCCACCTGCCATACAGTAGGTTACTAACAAGATTACTGATATAATACAGTGATATAATACATGTTTAGTATGCTTACTTATATAAAACAGTAGTATTAAACTTACCTTGTGTGTTCACTCTCACTTAAGTCCCTCTCCCTTTGCCATCAATCCAAAATCAGCTGAGCTGCAACATTATACACACAGGTAATAATCAACATAATCACAAGGACACAATATGGCTCTGCTAAAAACACTCACTCTTACACGCACCAAAGTTATATTTATCTAATATTTAACTCCCTCCACCCCCGCATACAATCCCGTTTAGAAGCCCCTCTTCTCTAATTCAACAACGTTGGACCAAATAGACATTAAGAGAACGGAATTTACAATTAAAAGGCTGTTCAACGTGTGTTGCTAACTTGCTTCGGTATCCTAGCTTGATCTGTTATCTGTAAACGTTCCCTAAATCTACTAATTTAGGGATAATCCACTGACATCCTTTAATACACATGTTCAATTGAATCAGATGCACTGATAATATCCGCAATATAAATCTTTAAACTTCTTCTTACCTTTAAAAGTCCGTCACGAACGGTCTATTATGCTGCAACTCCACAGCTCTGCTAGCCTTGGCGCTAACTTCCGGGGAACGATTGAGAGGCTCCACGATCCGCCATTGCTGTAAAAAAGTGGTCCATTGGAGTGAACGGAGATGTCATAACTCTTCTATTATATGGCTCTGCGTTAACCTACTCTTCAAGAACTTCAAGAACAAAAATGGATAGCAGGAAAAGCCTGGTTTATACTTCTCCGCGAGCGCGTTAGCGAACGGAAATGTTCATTTGGTGCTGATGTTCGCACAGTGGTTTGCCATCAGGGATGCAAACTTGTCACCTTTCGGCAAAATTCGCCGTTTTGAATCCAAAATAGGTCGTTTGTGTGATTTATGTAGATCTGCAATAAAAATATTTTTGGGGTATGGGGGGATCTGGGACCCGGAGTAATCTGCGGCCAACAATCAGGAGAGATATTTGATAGTTGGTGCTTGAGAAGACTAAACATGTATCTGCAATTGACATGAATGGAAACGAGTAATAAAGTATATTCATTACTCGTTATTCTCTACTAATAGTTCATTAAAGACTGTATATTATGGCTATTTTGCACATCCCTTTCAAGATTTTCAAAGGTGTATTGACATATCATATACACAACTACGGTGTAGTTATGCAATGAATTAAACACTTGGGTCACAGGTTCCTCAACAGTGCATTACAAGACATCTATCAATATGTGTGAACCTCCACCATTAAACTGTCATATTCTGCACATTTCTTATTCTATCTACATACATACGAGTATAATTCATATGTATAATATCAGTTAAAATAAGTGCTTCAACATAGTTAACATTGCAGGAAAGCAATATATTAGACGTTAAGTACTTTGTCAGGCTTAATATTTATCTGTAGATAGATACCCCCAACGTTTTTTTCTTATTTAAAAGAAGACCTTAATCTGTTATTTAATGTTTAAATAAAGGTTAATTCGTTTTTCTGTTTTACACCTCCTCCTATTAATATCTTTGTACATGCTGCACTAAACTGTTTTATTGTAGAGATCACTTTATAGTATCTTCTTGATTTTTTATATTCTATATTTCTATTTTTATACTTTCCCCCTATGAAAGTATGTACTCTTAATATTTTTTTAATCAAACTATAATTCAATAACGTGCTTTAACCACTAGATGCACACAAGGTACACAAATGTTTTCCGGATTTCATATCATATAAACACCAAATCCCAGCATGCATTGCGGCTAAAACATCCAATAAGCGAGCTTAAAACCATAGCTGAGGATCTTGGGTAATGCCTATGTCCGGTTATTTTTATTTTGAAATTCAGTCCCTGATGGACGCCAAAAAAGCCCGAGATTATGGAATTAAACCAATAAATAAAATCAAGGATAATTGTGTGTTATTGGTGAGTAAATAACAGTGTGTTATTTTGAAAAGAATAACAAATTAGAAGGAAACAAATATTTAAAAAATACAGATTTCAGTATTCTGAGGCTCTGAGCCCCATTTAGTTTCCTCACAGACGGCAACAAAAGTCCGAAATTATACGATTTAAAATAAAAGCAATAATTGTGGCTTGATATTGAGTAAGAACATGTTTTTATGAACCACACAGCTTCAGGTCTTCCTCGACCCGACCGGAGAAAAAGACGTGCTGCAGGCAGTAGAAATACATTGCTTTTAAAATCGTGCTGTGCAACACGAAAAAAAATCGTGCTGTGCAACACGAAAAAAAGGGGCAAATCGTGTTGGGGAACACAAATCAATAGATTAAAAATCGTGTTGGTGAACACGAAATGCCGTGAGACTGGGTTGTAATGTTTTGGTTTATGAGTTCACCACACTGATGTAGCCAGAAACATTAGGATGCTAAGTGAATGGGAAAGTGTGTCTCAAACTTTTTACTGGAGCTGTATGTATTTAGGTTTACCACCACATTAAGACTTGTTTTATTCTGTGAATGCACGTCCAGCTCCTCCACTGCAGTATCAAAAAGGTTATTGCGTTTAGACAGTAACCTTTCCCTAGCCTGTAAGCACATGAGAACAGTCGCAGCTGCCTGTAATGAAGGCAAACAGTGTATCACATTGTTTCCTGCAGCTTAATCTGTGATTCTTACAGAGGTGGTGGTGTGTGCAGCAGCAGCACAGGTAACGGTCCAAGACAGGAGAAAACAGGTTGGTAGAAAACGAGTTGTAAAGCAAAGTTATTTATATTTACCTTTGCAAGACGACTATGTGCCTTTTTCAAAAATACACTACATCTTGATATGGTTACATTGTTTTGATTGCAGTGGTATATGGAACTGGACAGTTCTGTTTTAAGGTTGTGGAGAGCAGTGTGAGGAGAGGTTGACACTGAGTGGTCCTGTGAGTCAGGAACAACTGGTACATAAAAAACAATGACAGTTTTAAGAATAGCACACTTCTACTTCATACTAGCCCAAGGAAGCCCCACAGGTGTGCTCAATTTAAAAAAGAGTGTGTGCATGCGATTGCAGTGATGAAAGTGAAACATGCGTAGAGGGTACATTTGAAAGCAAACTAAGTGTAGTAAAAGTATGCCATATTCAAATCAACCAATGTGTTTTGCAGATGTGTAAAGTAGAATATGTATTGCATAATTTCCTTAAATCTTGTTTGTGTTATAAGTTAATGAAAGCAGGCTTTAGGTTTCTGCAACAGTATTCTGATATACATTTCATATTTACAGGCTGGAAATGAATACTTGCACATGGTCAAGGACCTTGCAGAGATGAGGTATGAATTCAGTTGCATAGCGTTGTCTTGTTAATTTGCATCTGAACAGTTAACTTGAGTTTTGACACCACACAGGGAAAGAGCATTACATCGTTGAATCTCCACTTGACTCCAGCTTGGCTGTTTGACCTGCCCATATTGTTACATTGCATGGGTTTTGTATAATCTGTCGGTCATGTTCCCATACACCACCACATTCACTGAAATAATTCTGTTCAGACTGCAATGTTTCTTTTGGTTTACCAGATGTGTCTGAGAGGATCATCCCAGGGCCTGCAAAGACTACATTTTCAGACAAATAGCTTTTTAGTACTTTACATATAATTGTACCATCTCATGAATGTTTTTTTCTCTGGCCTTTTTTAACAGGCATGATGGACTGGAAGGGTTGCCAGGCAGTATTGGGCTTGAACGCAGGGTGCCATTTTGTGTTAGCGGACAGAAACCGAGATATTACTCGAACATTTCCTGGGACAGTGCCCTGACAGCCAGCACCCAGATTACATTTCTTTAGTTGGACCTTCTTTTTATTTGTGACGCCCCTCACATTTATGTTACAGCCAGTGGGGTAGTGGGGATTTTTTTACTGGGGGGACGCTATTTTAATTAGGTCATCCCAAACAATGCCACACAAGTGCGCATGCGCGCAGTGCACTCACAAAACGGGCAGACAGGTCCACAGAAACTACCGGTATGCTTAGTCCTACTTTAGTTACTGTACTGCAAAAAGCAGACGGCGCTGCGCTCGACACACACAGACTCAAAACCATGGACACACTGGCACATACGTTACATAAACAATGTATAGGCCTAAATTGCATAAGCTACAGTATTGCAACTAAGCAGACAGTGCTGCTTCTCTCTCTCTCTCTCTCTCTCTCTCTCTCTCTCTCTCTCTCTCTCTGCTCTCTCCTCTCTCGCTCTCTCTCTCTCTCTCTCTCTCTCTCTCTCTCTCTCTCTCTCTCTCTCCACTTTCAAAATCTATTTAAAACTCATAACAAACAAACAAAATGTCCAAAGTTGTCCTGAAATTAACTTATTAAATAAACAAAACGAAAAATATAGCCATACTTATGCAAATAACATTGAATCTGGACTTGACATTATTCTGATTAGTCCTAGCCTACATTGCAAATAAGCAGACAGCGCTGCTTTTCACACACACACACACACACACACACACACACACACACACACACACACACACACACACACACACACACACACACACACACACACACACACACACACACACACACACACACACCACACACACACACACACACACCTTGGGTTTTGAAGACTGATAAATCCGAAATGGATGAACAAACTTTGCAGCCCAGTTTCCCAGCTTTGCAGTCTATCCACGGGTATGCCTCTTGTTTCCTCCGCCACATCTCCTCCGTCCATACCTCTGGGAAAGGTGAGCTTGAGCTAGCCAGGGGAACGTTGCTAGCGCAGCTAACGTGCACGTTAGCTAGCATTATCCACGTCTTTAGGCAGCTCTTCTGATGATGTAGTACTCGCAGCTTCACTTGTAGCTTCGGTGCTGCTAGCCTCTTTCTTCTTGTGAATTATATTCTTTTTAGAAAATAAGTCAAGTAAAAAACGTTTTCCTTCCATTATAGAGCTTTTTCGTTAGCGTTCTTGAGGGAAAGAGCTGCCGCAAAATCGACGGGCGCGGCGAGCTGGCTCACTGTGGGTGTGTCAGTGACTATGGTCAGTGACCGCAGGGTCAGTATGAATCATACTTTTTTAAGGAAATCGTTTTTATTTTTTATTTTAATTACTGTGAAATGTATTATGTTTTTGTCATTATTACAACAAATACAAACTTGCAACTGATAAGACTGGCAATGATTTTATATGTATTAGACTATTACAAAAAAGATCATGCTCCAAATAAGTGGGGATACGGCGTACCCCCAAGTCCAACGCCCACTACACCACTGCCTCTAACCAATTCAGGCTCCAGTGGGGACCTTTCTCCCTGCGTGCCTCTCCACCTCTGTTTCCTACTTCTTACTTGCTACCCTTTTCCCTCACCCTATCCAAAGGGAGTGCATGTATGTAGACACGTTAGTCTAGCTGCTATAGGCTTGGACTGTTGGGGGGGGACCTTACTCCGTCTTTCTGGCTGTTTGTACCTGTGTACTCTCATGTTCCGATTAACCCAGTTTCCCCCAAATCTCTTTTCGAGTTAGTCGAGGCTAATCATGTTGCTGTGGTCGTGTGTCCTGGATCCTCTATCCTGAGTCCTGGATCCTCTATCCTGAGCACTGGATCTGAGTCCTGGACTTCGAGTCGTGGCTGAACCTGTCTCTGCGGTCCTGCCAGACTCTCACCATACTACTTCCCTGATGGCTCCCACAGGATTGTTGATATCCTCGTGGATTCATCTTCTTATTACAGACACATGCATTTCCTAACATTTGGACTACCTATGCTGTAATAACTGTTGAAGGGCAAGGCTATGGTAACGGTATTGGATCACTACACACAAGATGCATGATGAGAAAAAGACTGAGAACAGGTGATAGGCTCTGATTTAGCACCACCATCAGGCCTTTTCACTTCCATTTCCGTTTTGTTGTCCGAACGTTCCATTCAAAAATGTTATTAAAAAGGCCTGTTCACCATGAAAGATGACTATTGAGATCTATTGTCAGGAATGTTAGTGTTATATCAAATAGTGAATTCTACTGCAGCAGAATGTTGCACGTCTGCACAGTGTTATATGTTCACCACTCAGTGTCAGTAAATATTGTGCAGTTAGTATTGGACCAAAAAAAAAGCGCTGCTCTTGTGCTTGCTGTACATTATAGATGCAAGCTATTACATTTTTTATAATGCTACCGAACTTGCTGCTGCTAGCTACAGTACAGTACAGGTTGATTAAACGGTTCGCTCGTCACGCAAGGTATCACATGACATGAAAGAGAGCAAGGTCATTGGACAGACAAATTACAAACATAATTTAGGTTGCTTGGTTACTTTGAAGACTGCGTGAACCGGTCAATGCCATTGGGGCTCCAAAATAAAAACATATATAAACATATATATATATATAAAAAAATGTTTTTGCATTTTTGTTGTTGTTGCATGGGCCCCTTGCCGGCTCTGGGCCCCGGTGCGTTGCACCAGCTGCACCGGCGATAGTTACGCCACTGGTTCAAAGATTAAATGGTTTTATCGTCATATGAACAACAGTTGTAGTGTAGTTTTAGCCGGAGCTTGAAGTGGGGATCAAAGTGCCATTACGCCCTTATTTACATATTGGCTTGTTTATCAGTAAACAATTATTACAGTGAATAAAAAGCACAGTCCTTCCCAGTCTGCTCCAGGTTTAATTACACTGCCCTTCATTTGAAATACCAAACATATATCTATAGGTGGAGATGAAGCCCTTCAGAACTTAGATCAAAGAGTGCAGCGTGTACAAAAGATTAGATCTAATAGAGTATCCTACTCAAGGTCAAGTACAAGTTAGCGTACATAAATACACTTTACCCAAGAAAAATGACTTGCAAATAAATTGACAGAGAAAATGGAAAAATATATAAAATACTTCAGCCCAAGGGTTGTGACGAGGTGCTGATCTGGAAGTAGGACTATGTGCATATACTTTATTTATATCTGGTTATTTTGAGAAGGCCTGGGGCCTACACCTGATAATAACTTCTCAAAATATGCATTCCTGAGTAGAGTAACTACAATTAACCAGAGTTCACTAAGTATTAAGCTACATGCATAGAAATAAACACAAATACTAAAACATCAAGGTCTCAAACACAGGTGTATATATATTAAATAAGCCCCATTGCAGCCACAGTCTATGCAGCCATGGCCGTTCCCACCATTAAGGTCACAGAGGTCCGGACCTCCAAGGTGCGCAATCTATGCCTGTGAGCGTGCTGCGCAAGCTGAGATAATGTGTTATGTGGTGTGCGTAGTTGAACCTTTTCAAATTTAAGTTTGTAGCAAGTAGAGGGCTGCTGCGTGCGTGCGTGTATGTCTGTGTGTGTGTGTGTGTGTGTGTGTGTGTGTGTGTGTGTGTGTGTGTGTGTGTGTGTGTGTGTGCGTGTGCTTGCACATTAGTCTTAAAGACCCCCATAAAGCTCAGATTATAACTCGAACCCTGGACGACAAGATGCATGATAACTTATATTGCAGCTATACTTTGGTTTAAACCCATGAATAAAATAGCTAGAGAACTAAAGTTAATTTCATTCTGTCACGATCTGCCTGTATTGTATTTTGTCTTGTCTTGTTTCATGTTTTATTTTTGAAAGGTCTTCACTTCCTGTCTTGCCTGTTTCTGTCTGCGTTGTGTCTTGTTTAAACCTGTCTGTGGTTCCCGGTCGTTAGTTTCCCTGGTGTGTCTAATTTACCCGATTGTGTTCACCTGGTGTCCCTGTGTGTTCTCCTCCCTCCTCACATGTGTCTTGTTTCTGTGATTAGTCTTGTGTGTATTTAAGTTCTGGTTTTTCTGTCTGTCTTTGTCGGTTCGTCTTGTGTCATGACTAGTTCGTCGGTGAGTGTTCTGTTTTGTCTTTGTTTAGCACCTAGCCTTGAAATAAAGGAATTCTCACTTTAATCTGCATTTGGGTCCTACCTAGTGATGGCAAAATGAAGCTTTGAATGAAGCGTCGAACCACTTGGACAATTGTGTCGGAAATAGGTTCATTTCTCGAAGCTTCAGTTACAGCGACCTCTCCTGGCGAAGTGCAAGGCTGCAGTGGGTTTAACGTATCTTTGCCTTGAAAAATATTTGATGCACACACACACTAAGACTGAATATCATGTTCTATTTGCAATTAAAGATTGATAATTGTGTGTATTGGGTTATTGAGAAGAGACTAGAGAGTGCTGGACATGTTTTTGGGAGGAGAGGGCCTTTTATCAGTTATTAAAGTTGAAAAGCAATGATTAAAATACGTCCATTCCGGGATTTGAACCAGCTGCGCGGAAGACATCGCCGCATTCGGGCCGCAGGCTCTACCCACTGGGCTATCTATTCCTTAACATATTTAACTGTTTTTATATTACTCATTGTCCTTTTGTTCACAACTTCTCCACATTTCAAAGTGTTTCCCGAGCCAGAACAACCTATCTTACTTCCTGGCTTGCTCTATAATGATATCAAATGCAATAACAGCAACAACGCAAACTACGACAACAACCCACACATTGTGCATTGTTTAGAGCGGTCATAAAGTGTTGAAGCACTCAAGTTTGAAACTGTTTCAACCTGTCACCTGTCAGAATCGAGACGAGGCAGTGCATTGAATCGCGTGAATGGACCGTGAACCAGTCAAGTAGTGATGTTACGTATTGCGCCGAGGCTTCGGAGCGTGTGTCGAGTAATCCCCGAAGCTTTTTGTGAAGCATGTATCGAGGCTTGTATCGTTTTGGGCCAGTGACGTCATCGATGACAAACGAAGCCTCGCTGCCTGTCGATACCACGTGACTGCTTCACGAAGCGATTCAGATCGGTTGAACCGTTGAACCACAACGCTCATAATACCCATGGATGTATAATAAGAACGGTATTAACCGTTTGTACCCGGGCCCGCTGGTGACACGATGGAATTAAAAGAGCTCAAAACCTCACCTATATAGAGGTCGGAACATGTCATAAGTATAAATAGATAGGCTACAAGCATAAATAAATGTAGGAAAAAAAACATGAATGAATAAATACAGGAATAAATATGTTACAGTATTTTCAGGGAGATTCAGCGTGTGTGCTGTGGCTCAGCTGGAAAGCAGTTGACTCACGACCGCAGGGTTCCTGGTTCAACGACTCGTCAATACGTATTTTTTGTTGTTTATAAAAGCTACAGCTAAATGAGATAATGTAGTTAATAAATGTATTCTTTGATATGGTTTAGCCTTTCTCAGGCTACAACATGGTTACGTTTATGAATATTATTAAGGAATACAAATCCCTATTTGTAATGTTTACCAGCCTCCAGGCCCGGACTGGCCATCGGGAGCACCGGGAGGTTTCCCGATGGACTGGCCTGTTAAGTGGCCTGCTGGCCTGAGGAATTTATTTTTGTTATGTATGTATTGTGAACGCAACGCTGCGCAAATGTGGGTCGGACTCTGCCTCACAGAGGGTGACTGGCTGTCTACATGATGTGGCCTGCCGACATGGCCACTTCCATACAGATCATACTAATGCCCTCGATTGGTCTCTGTGTGTCATTCAAGCTCGGGAGCTTGAATGTGTGTGGCGCAAGCGAGCGAGAGAGAAACCGGTTACGTGTATTGTTGTTGTTAGCATCTGGTGCTAGTTAGCTGCGCTAACGGTTCTAATGAGCTGTCAACAAGGTGGGGGGAGAGTCCTCTGCTGTCAGACTGAGAGACTGATAACTACAGCTCAGGTGAGGTAAAGGACTCTGAGTCTTTAGATAGTTAACTTAGTCTAAGTTCTCTGTGGGTCTCAAATGGTTTGGTCACCATTTATGTAAACACATATTTCCATTTGAACGGGGAGTGATTAGTAAAATATGCATGAATAATAAAAAATAAAATGTTAACTAGGTGAAAAAAGGTAAGATAAACTTTATAAACTTGTTGAGAGCTAAAACTAGTCTTTGCTGCTGCCTCAAAGAGGAGCAGGGGGAGAGGGATACAGGTGAGGCTGGTTCAGGAGCACAGACACACTCACAACTATAAATAAACCAAAAACAAATAAATAAACAAGTTTCAATGTAATTTCATATTGGTTATGGCCATGTTCTTATGATTTTATGATTATTTAAATGTATACAGTTCTGTTTCATATGGGTGTTGTCTCTTTATTTCCCCCTCAAAGTGCACTGGTTGATGCATTTAAGTCCAACATTTAAAAAAAAAATCTTACCGGGGGAGCATGCCCCCGGACCCCCCTAGAGGAATTGAGGTCCACCTCCACTTAAAATATGTTCACGTGGATAGGTTCCTAGATGTGCACAGCAACGCCTAAATAGATTTGCACAGCAACGCTGTATTGACAAATGAATCCAGGAAAATGGCACAAAAGAAAACTGGTAGTGGCCTGGCAGCGTGTATAATTCCCGGCCTGACTTATTGTCCCAGTCCGGCCCTGCCAGCCTCCTTAGCCTTTTCAATCACAATCATTCAACTGGAATAAAAACAATATTGTTAACATGAAAATATGATTTAATGTTCGTTGTTTAGATGTATTCTAAGGCTTTACTCATTGGGAACTCGGTATGAGATAGAGCACACTGTTGAGATGTCCAATCTGCCTGTTTTACACACTTTGACCAACAGGGGGTTTGTGTTCAGATGAAGCCCATGATGAAGCCTCATGAGATGAACCCTTTTGCGAATCAATTGGCTGGAAAGCTTCAAAGCTTCATAAGGCTTCATCTCGCCATCACTACAGTCAAGTGATTCATTCAGGAAATGAAGCAGTTGCTGCTTCGGACGTCACATGTCACGTGATTTGAAGCAGTTGCTGCTTCGGACGTCATATGTCACGTGATTTGAAGCAAGTTTCGAAGCACTGCTTCTATGGAATAGGAAGTCCAGGGTTGAAGCTCCGTTCGAAGCTTCAGTGTCAAACTGCCATCACTAGTCCTACCTGCTTCACACACCGTGACACATTCATCCAATGTCAGACCTTTTAACAAAAGTTTCAATGCTTTTCTTTCATTATAATGTGAGTAAAAGGTTGAAGAGATCAAATGTATTGCTAGCCCCGAGCCCCACTGGCATGTTTTGGACCTTGGTATTTACAAAATCCTGGATACGGGCCTGTATGCAGCAAACAGTCTTTGCTTTAAACACACATAACGGTGTTAGGCCAGAGCAAAAAAGTGTTGCAGCTTTTCAAATTGACGTACTGCGTAGTGTGCACACAGCGCTACCTTGTAATGCAAGTGTTGGATGTCCCTCTCGTCAAACGGACTATAGCAGAGGATAGTTTAGGTTTGCTAATGGCAGCACCTGACCGCCAACGTGGTGCGCATGCGTCTTGGAGTATCCGCTGGGAACACACTGCTCCCTGGGTAAAGCAATATTTGTTCTTGTTAAAGGCAAAAGGATCAATGGAACATGATTTTAGAGGGCTGAGTAGAGCAGCCTGTGAGAAGTGCCTGTACGCAAATAAAAGTCACGATACGCCAAAGAATAAAATGTGGAAGTGCCGGTACTGTGTAGCGGTGAGTAGTGGCCCACTTCGGGCACTGGTTTTAGCAATAACAACCCAAGACCCAGGCTCCTCCAACAGAGTGACTTTGGATAGACATAAAGGAAATAAAGGAAAATAAGTGCAATAAAGCTGTGAAAGTGACACAATTGTTTTCATAAATTAAGCCAATCACAGCATGTCCCCTCTCAATAAATTAAAAACTTTGTCTGTTTATTTATTTTATAAGATGAGTGATTCATGAATGGCAATTTATTTAAATTAAATATGTCTTATCATAAAAAGTAACGTGTAATAATGGATTATGAGGACGACGAGAGTGTAGTAATGTGTACAGCAGTTCAAGTAGCTTTTTTAAAGTCTCTTTGAATTTGGGCTTGATTAGAGTTAGTGTCAATTTGTGGAGTTTTTGTGTTTCTTTGAGTAAAAAGGTCTAATTGAAATCAAAATGTGAGCATGGTTGGACATGATTACCAAATCATTGAAGTTAACTAACCAGCTGTTGTCGATTATTTTCAGTTCATTCGGAGCGATGACCTCTAAAGGAAGCGGGACAATGGAGGTGGCGGCGCTCGGACGGCCTTTCAGCCTCGGGATGTTGTACGACTGCCGCAACGACTCTCTCGTCCCTGGTGAGGAAAAAACATCACCTTTTTAAAAACAGACATTTTCTTTTTGCCAGGAACGAAACACACAGATGAAAAGCTATAAATAAGTTATTTAAGATTGTTTGTTGATAGCATGGACTAGATTGTTGTGATGTTGGAAGAAGCAGGTTTGGACTAGCTTGTTTGTGTGAGGCTCAAGTTCAGATTCTGGTCAAAGATCACACCCAGGTTTCTTGTCTATGGTTCAACGTTGAGGGCCAGGGTGTTGATTTATGTCAGAGACAAAGTTACCAGGAACACTATGAAAGACCTCGATTTTGTATGAATTTAAATTAAGGAGGTTAAGTGACATCCATACAGTCAGTGATGGAGAGTACTAATATTACCCATCACATTTTGACAAACATTAAAGTAAATCTGTGTGTCGTCAGCGTAACAGTGGTGAGAGATAGAGTGAAACTGACTGAGCCGGTTGCCTAGAGGTAAAGCGTATTAAGAAAATGTTTTGGGGCCAAGGATTGATCCCTGTGGAACTCCGCAGAGTAAAGGGGCAGATCAGGAAATTGTTTTGGACCAATTCCAAAGGTTGCCCATATCAACTCAAACAGTTGATTGGGATCTGAGGAATGCTTGACATTAGAGTAGAGATTGTTTTCATATAAAATCAGTGTGGTGTGGGGAAACAATGGAAGGCAGCTTTTATTCCAGGAGATGAGCCAATATCTTAACAAACAAAGGAGGCCATTGACAAAAGATTTACCAAAAACATAGAGGAAGTCTGGCAACAACTTGGCACCAAATATCTTTAAATGTTCAACAGAGAATCCATCAGTGCATGAGCTAAAGGACATAATTCAGCTATGACATTTTTATATAAATAATGTCCGCTTATGTGCCCTGTTGGATGGCCTCCAGGTCTTGTTTGATTGCAGCATGGAGATCAGCACTCTAGACGCCAGTTGTGACGTGAAGTATCCATCTTGGCTTTAACTACCTGCAGGAAAGCCTTCTCATCAGGGTTATTTTGGCCGGTGATGGATGCTGGAGAAAGTAGTGCTGTCCTTATCCTTTGTTTGAGAGCAGAGCTAGCCAAACTATACACAGTGACTTTGGTTGAATACTTTTAGTTTAACATGCCATGACTATGGGCATAGATATGTCTCATAATTATTTGTGTGAACAGAAAAATAATTTGTGTGTAAATATGTGATTTGTAAAACACCACAAATGCATTTAAAAGATTTGCAAACTCACAAATAAATGTGCAAAGCAGAGATTTGAGATCCACGAGCGCATTTTTGATTGACAAATACAAAATGGATTCACAAATGCCTGATCGAAAGTTGTCAATGTTAAAGAGATATTCACAGATCTTTTTTTAATTTGTAAAAACATTTAGCGTATATGCAGATCCGTTTTACATTTGCAAATTTATTTGTGAGTTTGCAAATCTTTTAAATGCATTTGTGGTGTTTTACAAATCACATATTTACACACAAATTATTTTTCAAAAATAGACAAAATGTAAGCCCATACATGAGTCACACAATGTTCTACAATGTGTAGGCTACTGATTGCTGTTATCTGTCACTGTTACCGCTGAACTGGAAGTTATTTGACTTTTATTGTTTATAGGAATAAACTCAGGACGGCTAGACGAAGGTGCTCAGAATTCAAAAACTCAAAATGAACATCTGTTTCCTATAACTACCATAGAAATAACCCAAAATAACCCTGTATCATCGTGCCTGGCCATATCACTTTTGTTATGGTTTTGCTCAACAACTGCGGTGTCTCCACACTGTCAGGTTCCCAACAAGGACGCAGTGTAACAGTCATGAAAATAGTCAAGTACATTAAACTGATTTGTGTCTCTTTGTCTTGTAAGCAAGACAAGCTTTCTCTATTATCATTAATGTTCTCAGGAATTGCATCACTGAGCAAATCATTGTATATTTCAGTTCCTAACAACAGCAAAGCTACAATTATTGGAAAGACGATGATTTGATTCCCCTTAAAGTTATAGTGTGTATTAACATCTAATCTGGTTCTAGCTTGATTTTGGTTCTTCTTTTGCAGGAATCACTTTGTGGGACTGTGATGACCTTAACAATCATATTAGAGAAAGACCACAGCATTATAATGATTGTGATATAGTTGCATCTGAATCAATTGAGGACAAATCTTCAGCACTAAATGTTGAAGCATCACTGAAGGTAAGTTTCTTGGGTGGACTGGTAAAGGTTGGTGGATCAGCCAAATACCTGAACGATAGCAAGACTTCCAAAGATCATGTTAGAGTAACACTGAATTACCAAGCTACCACAAAGTTCCAAGAACTGTCCATGAATCATCTTGGGGATGTTAAGAAACATCAGTTTGTGTTTGAGAAAGGAATAGCAACACATGTAGTCACAGGTATCCTTTATGGGGCACAAGCCTTCTTTGTCTTTGACCGTGAGGTGTCTGTCAACGAGAACCATCGAGACATTCAGGGCAACTTGAAGGTGATGATCAAGAACATTAGCTCCCTTTCAATAGATGGTAAAGGCTCGCTGAAAATGGAAGACAAGGACAAAGCAAATGTTGAGAAATTCTCCTGCAGATTCTTTGGAGACTTTTTGATTCAGAAACCTCCGACATCCTTTCAGGAGGCAGTAGAGGTGTACCAAAGTCTGCCAAAGCTGCTGGGAGCCAACAGGGAAAACGCAGTACCAGTGAAGGCTGTTGCCTCTGACATGTTTAGATTCTACTGCCGCTAAACTTGTCCGTCAGATAAGTATAGGATTAGTTGAAGAATGTCAGAGTGTCCTGGAGGACTTCAGTGACCTGGAGATGAGGTTCAATGATGCACTGAGAACCCAAACTGCACAGCAGTTCCCACAGATTGGAGAAAAACTCAAAACCTTTAAACAGAAGTGCTCTCAGTTCAAACTGGAATTCCAACGAACCCTGGCAAAGAAACTTCCATCAATCCGAGGAGGAGGAGAAGAAGAAGCTGTGCTCGCAGAGGAACTGAGGAAGACATGTTCTTCTCCTTTCAACAGCAAGGACCTGAACGAGTGGATGGACTGTAAGGAGAGAGAAATCTACACCGTGATGTCTCTGACCGACATGATGACAAACACCAAGATCATCTCATCTCAAACAGACCTGGACAAAGAAAGCTTCAAAGCAGAGCAGGCTGTGTGTTTTGTCTTCACCTCGCTGGGAAGAGATGAACCGTACCTCTCAACTTTATCAAACTACCTTAAACAAACACCCAAACCAGATGATGCCCAAGATCCACACCCTCCAGATCAATGGTACAACTCAAGAGAAGAATGGGGAGCAATGCGGCATAAAGCAAAGCTCTTCAGTGATTTTGCAGAGGCCAAAAAGGAGAACAAGAACATCACATTTCTGACGGTGGGTTTAACAAACGAGACACAGAAAGGTGCCAGCATCTACCTTTATACAGACGGCCTTTCTGTCAATGAGAACTTTGAGCCGCCTTCAAAGCCTGCAACAGTAACAGGAAGTGATATAAACCACAGCAGTGTGACGCTGAACATTTCTCCACCCAGATTTGGAGCAGAGGACATCACCTCCTACTCTGTTGAGTACTGTGTCAGAGGAGAGGACGGCTGGAAACAAGAGACAGCATCCAGAGCTGAAGAAGTCACAGTGAGCGGCCTGAGTCCTAACACAGAGTACAGGTTCAGATGCAGGGCAGAGACACCAGTAGGTGCCGGGCCAGCCAATGAAGTCAGTGGATCCATTCAAACCTTACCCTGCAGCCCTCCTGGAAAACTCCACGTTGAATCTACCTCAGGTGAGATATCAGTCAGCTGGGAGAAACCTGCTGAGCTCGGACAAGATGTCCACGTTTTGAGCTACATCGTGGAGTACGCCGAACCAGACCAACAGGTGAAAGAGGAAGATCTCCACTGGGAGCAAAATATGGTGGGAGCTGAGAAGGCGATCATTTCAGGACTTCAGCCAGAGACAGAATACGCTGTCAGGGTCAGGTGTGATTGTGGTGCAGCTGGAAGAAGCAAAGAAAGCATCGCTGTTAATGTCCGCACAACAACACCTGCATATCTTAAAGAATTCCTCAAAAGTAAAAGCAAAATCATCAATACTGAATCTCCCTCAGTTTACAAACTGCCTCTGACAGAAGAAGACATGGACGTTGATGGATGCCGGAGGTACAACTTTGGCAAAGACAGCATGAGGCAAAATCGTACAATAATGCTTCTCGGAGCAACTGGATCTGGAAAGTCCACTCTGATCAATGGACTCATCAACTACATCGTTGGTATAGAGTGGAAGGACGATTTCAGATTCAAGTTAGTTGACGAGGATCAGTCGAGATCTCAAGCTGAGAGCCAGACCTCTGAAGTCACTGTGTACAAAATCAACCACCAAGAGGGCTTTAAAACCCCTTTCTCTCTGACCATTGTTGATACTCCAGGCTTTAGAGATACAAGAGGAATAAAAAGAGACGAGGAGATCAAACAACAGCTTCTTAATCTCTTCTCTGCTGAGCGTGGCATCAGTGAAATTGACGCTGTGTGTTTTGTAGTTCAGGCTTCTTTAGCTCGGCTCACACCAAGACAGGAGTATGTGTTTGATTCTGTGCTCTCAATCTTTGGCAAAGATGTGAAAGAGAACATCCAGGTTCTGGTGACATTCGCAGACGGCCAACGCCCACCAGTTCTAGAGGCGATCAAAGCTTCAGGCGTCCCATGTCCTAAAACAGAAGACGGGCTGCCAGTTCACTTCAAATTCAATAATTCTGCCTTGTTTGCACAGAACCAATCATCTGCTGCTGCTGACTCCAGTGGAGAGGAGGAAGAGGGAGGCTTTGAAAAGATGTTCTGGAAAATGGTGGCAGAAAGCATGAAGACGTTCTTTGTTGCTTTAAATAAGCTAACAACCAAAAGCTTGACATTGACAAAGGAAGTCCTCAGAGAAAGAAAGCAGCTCCAGATCTCAATGGAAAATGTGCAGAAGCAGGTTAAAGTAGGGTTAGCCAAGATTGAGGAGATAAACAAGACATCTGAACAACTTAAACTGCATGACGCAGAGTGCAGCAGAAATGCAAAATGTGAGTTTGAAGTAGTTGTCACAAGGCCTTTTAAAGTAGATATATCTGGCACTGGGACGTTCGACACCAACTGTCAGCTGTGTCATTTCACCTGTCACACAGAATGTCCATATGCCAATGATGCAGATAAAAGGAAGTGTCCTGCAATGGGACCAGATGGAAACTGTACCCAGTGTCCAGACAAATGTCATTGGAGTAAACATTTTAACCAGAAGTACAGATGGGAGTATAAGGAGGTTAAAGAAAAGCAAACCGTGCAGGAGCTGAAAGAAAAGTACCTGAAGGCCTCAAAGGCTAAGGGAACTGTTCAGGAAGTGATCGCTCATATGAAGGCTGAATATCAGCGTCTTCAGGCTGAAGTGAGGGAGATCATGAAGAGGTCTGCTGAGTGTCTGAAGAGACTAGGAGAGATCGCACTGAAGCCAAATCCTCTCTCCACTCCAGAGTACATTGACCTGCTCATTGAGGGAGAGAAATCTGAGGCCAAGTTAGGCTGGAAGCAACGAGTCGAGTACCTGATGGAGGTGAGAGGACAAGCAGAGCTCATGGCTAAAGTAAGGAGAGGAGAAAACCTGCTTTAAAGTGAAGAATCTCTAACCAAGGGAGAATTAAGACCAGTGCCAACTTAGACCAAGACAAAGAGCTGAAAGCAATAGGCTCAAGCCATGATAATGACCCAGACATTTTAATGACTATAGATAGCCAAGGGTTGGGACCAATAAAGGACCATGTCGTACTTTATTTGCTTACACATCGTGTTTTAACTTTATTTGTCTAAATCACCATGGTTTCAATTTTGTAAACTAACTTCTTACAGCAAAGATGTTTTATGAATGTTGATGAATCTAAAAAGTAATCCTTGAAAGAAATGCTGAATAAGAGATTGACCTGAGTTTTAGAAGCCAGAGGAACAGAAGAGTTAAGTCAGGATATTTTGTGTCTACGAACGACATGTGTGATTTTGTTGTTGATTTTTGATGCTGTGTTGTAACGCCAAAGTAATGTTGTTCAAGCCATGTCAATAAAATGGAAAGAGTTTGAAGCCTAATCTTTCCTCCAATCAGAGTCCATTGCTTGCTGAATGAGAGAAGCCTGAGGCCAGGTTGGGCTCAAAGAGTTCAGTACCTGCTAATCATGAGAGAAAAACTGAGTCTCGACACTTGAGAGACTGAGAATTCAATATGTTTGCCACATTTTATTTGATATGTTTAAACAATTGTATTTCTGCAGAAGTTATGTGATATTTTTGTCAGGTTCACCAAACAGGAGATAACAGATGAACCATGTTTGTGGGAACACATTTTGTGCATGGACAGTTCATTGTGCAGTGTTTTTCCCCTGTTAGGATCATTTACATATTTCATGTATGCAGTTTACATTGCTCAATAAATTACATTTAGCTGACGATTTGATCAATAACGACTTACCATACAATGTTTTAAAAAGATGTGTTGCTTATTGTTTTGTATCTTCTCTTCAGGTATATATATATACTTTAAATATACTTAATGTAAACAATTATACTGATGTTTACTGAATTGCATGTTATTGTCCTGTAGTAATTAGGTGAGGGATGAAGAAAGTATGAAATGATTAAAAAACTGTATTGTATCTCCTTGACTCGTGACCAAAGACTTGAGACTTGACTTGGACTTGCAAAAAAAGACAAAGTAAAGCTCTGTTGTCCCCATATCAAAGTGGGTTCCAGAGGGGTCGGAATACAATGGATTCTATATTGTGCTTAGAATCAGACATCAGGAAAGCACAGACCAACAAGGAAGTAGTGATTGCAGTCTTCTTTGATATTGAAAAGGCTTATGACATGCTCTGGAAGGAAGGACTACTAATCAAGTTCAAATCATTGGGAATTGGTGGTAAAGCATATAATTGGGTTATGAATGTTTTACTGGACAGGAAAATACAAGTAAGAGTAGGAAAGAACTACCAGTATGGCGCATAGTCCAGAATTATTCTACAAGATATCACTCAGACTCAACAATCATATTTACAGATGGCTCCAAAGATCCAGAGACAGGGCGTGCAGGGGCAGCAGTGTATATCCCAGTGAGTAATACACATATAAAGAAAAGGGTAACAGACCATGTGTCAGTATACACCACAGAGTTGTTGGCATTGGTACTGTCATTGAAATGGATAGAGGAGAAAGAAATACATAACAGTGTAATTGCATCTGACAGCTTTTCAGCATTATCGAGTATACGATCAGGCAGATCTTCATCTAGAATGGACATCATAAATGAAATATTTCTAATTTGATATCAAATGCAAATCAAAGGCATAGCAACTCGTTTCATCTGGGTTCCTGCTCATGTTGGTGTGGAGGGAAATGAACAGGTGGATATTCTGGCCAAACAAACACTCAGAAGTATGAACATAGACATAGAAGTTCCACTCAGCAAAGCGGAGGTTCAAACATTCATTCAGAAATATGCACAAACAACATGGCAAGATCATTGGGACCTTAGTGATACAGGAAGACATCTTTATCACATTCAAAGGTATGTGGGGGATGGAAGGAAGGTGGGGTTTAAAAGAAGGGAGGAAAATGTCATTTCTCTGATGAGAATAGGTCATACAGGTCTCAATCATACTTTAAGTATAATACAGGTCTCAATCATACTTTAAGTATAATACAGGTCTCAATCATACTTTAAGTATAATACAGGTCTCAATCATACTTTAAGTATAATACAGGTCTCAATCATACTTTAAGTATAATACAGGTCTCAATCATACTTTAAGTATAATACAGGTCTCAATCATACTTTAAGTATAATACAGGTCTCAATCATACTTTAAGTATAATACAGGTCTCAATCATACTTAAGGTCTCAATCATACTTTAAGTATAATAGGAAAGCATCCAACCGGAAAGTGTACACACTGCAGCCAGCCAGAAACTGTTGAGCATGTTTTACTGCTTTGCAGGAAATATAGTACTCAGAGAAATGTGCTTTTCCAGACACTGAAGAAAGCAACATTCCATGACTTGTCGCTATCAGGGCTGTTAGGGAAAACATCAGGCAATATATATTGTGAGATTATTAAATTTCTAAGAGAAATTTATACATTTAAAATAATCTAGAGTTTTGGTTCTTTGTTTTGTTTCTTTTGTTTCTTGTTTTCTGCATAGTCTCTTGTCCACACTCCAGTCCAGTTGGTGGCGGTAATGCGCCTACAAGTTGGTTTGCCAACCGCCAATAAACACGGAAGAAGAAGAAGAAGAAGAAGAAGAAGAAGAAGAAGAAGAAGAAGAAGAAGAAGAAGAAGAAGAAGAAGAAGAAGAAGAAGAAGAAGAAGAAGAAGAAGAAGAAGAAGGAGGAGGAGGACAAAGGACAAAGGACAGAAGACAGAAGAACAGAAGAACAGGTGAGTGGATTAAACCTCTTAGTTTACAGTTAATCACGAATCAGAAGTTATCTTATTTAACACAACAGCTTTCATCTTGGTAGAAAGAAACTCACAAAAAAACTTTAAAATGTGCGACAAACTCAAACTATCTTTAAATAAAGGCTAACAGCTACAGTCTGAAAGCTATCGTCTAACGGCTACAGTTATTATTCCAGTTCGGCTCTGGGGGAGTAACAGTTGATATGTAATGCTCAGCTGACTTTATGTTAGTTATTTATTACACCAGTTGTCTTTAAGACGGTTTGAGTTGTTGTGTTGGTGCTCTTTACCATAGATATGGTTTTAAATATATGCTAACTAGCTTATTAGCATCGCCATTCACCGCGACGTAGCATTTTTCCCATTGAAATGAATGGGGTTCTTCAGTTAGCAGCTAACGCTAAGCTAAGCGACGGTTTAGCTCATTAGATAAATAGATATACTTTATTTAAATAATGATTTATCTTAAAGTGGGAAATGAATGTGTCACAGCAGAAGTGTTTTCAGGCATTACACGAGTTAAACATATTTAAAAGATGCAATAAGATATAATACAAATGAAGCATTAGCAGCAAGTATACACACAGGACACATATCACTAGAGTATCTAAAGAATACACAATATACAGAAAATACTGTATACATGGAGTACATTAAACAGTCTCACTAGCTAATGTTTGCTTTCTGTGTTAACTTAGTGATAGTTACACACGGATAGCGCTATAACAGTGGTTCAAACAACCATTAATGTCACTTTCTATGTGAATAAAGTCATTTTAATGAAATAAAAGTGAACAAACTGTGAGCTGTAAGTTAGAATGTAAGTTGCTACACAGATTATGATGAATTATATCTAAATATTTGTATTATATTAATAATAATTTACACAGAAAACCAACTTTTTATCGTAATGGTTAAAGTAATGTGCATGTAACGTTAATAACTATCTGACCTTTCTATCATGTTCTCCTCTGCTTAGCATCACATTGACTAAATGGATCAATTTGGACCATGTTTACGTCACAGCAGCATAGATAAGACAAGGCACTGCACATGGTGTGATAAAACACTACATATAAGCATCTAGAAATAGAACATATCATTGAATAAACTCTTTGAATTCCTCCTCTTCACTGCTGACAGTTTATGATGAATTATATCTAAATACTTGTATTATATTAATAATGAAGCAGCTCTGTGGTCTTCATCAGGACAGCTGATGAGCAGCATGGAGGAGAAGAAAGAGACCCCTGGAGCTCAGGTCAGTGTGCACTTCATCACAATATATTCCTAATTCCAGCGTTTCCGCCAGGCGGGCGTCTTGCCTTCATTTGACGCCCTTATTCAGCTCGGAACGCCCTATACAGACATAAATAAAGCAGCGACTGTATTCGCCATGACACAGACAGTCTGTGGTTTGTACTTGTTTAACTTCTGTCTAGTTTCTGAACAGATATGAGGAGCTGTGAGCTCACAACTGTATCATCAGCATACATCACATTCTCCACACACAGAAGGCGGATCATTTATGTACTACTAAACAGGATTGGGCCCAATACAGAGCCCTGCGGTACTCCAGTTGACAAACACTAGACTTATGGTTCTCAATTTGAACACAAGGAGCTGTTGTTGAGATGATTGATGATTTGTTTGGCAATCAATTTCTCAAATACCTTGGCTACTATGGGTAAGATACTGATGGGCCTATAGTTGGATGTCATGAGAGGGTCCCCACCATAGTTATCAAGAACACAAAACAGTTCTTTAGCCGCTCTGTCCTGGGGGTTGTCAACATGGATGTTAAAATCACCAACAATGACTAGACGTCAAAGTCAAAACACACTATAGACAGCAGTTCAGTAAAGTCATCAAAGTCATCAAAAGAAGCTAAGAGCACAGCTGAACTCCTGCAGCCCTGGGGGGCCCCTACATTGGTTGTGATGGCAGATGACAGGGTTTGGTCAAGTTGCTCTCTACTGGTGAGGAAAGCGGCATACCAGTAAATCAGGTATGGATTTACTTCCATTTTTGACACCAAGATGTCTGCTTGTATTGTGTTGCTAATGAGAAGTCTAGGAAGAGGGCTCTTGCATAGGTGTGACGTTTATCTAAATGTTTAGTGATGATGTGAACCAGAGCAGCAACAGTACCACCCCCTTGCTTATAGGCAAATTGGTATGGATCAAGTATGTCTTGTCCGTCACAATAGGTTTAGCTGAAGAGGTCATTCCTGTCACGGTTCTCATGGTGTCCCACACTTTTTTGGGGTCTTTGGCTTTAAAAGCATTTACCAAAAGCTCTCTGTGTGTTTTGATTCCCTCAATTTGACTTTCAGTTCTTTCTCTGTCTGTTCAAGTGCTCCATAGTCTTTGTTTTATGTCCTTAGTCACATATGATTTATTACTTTCTTTTCTGGTTCCCTTGAGTTTGGTCTTATACACTGGTATCATATTCACAGCACTATGATCAGAGTTCAGTATTGGTGGTCTGTATTTAGACACATAGGCTCCTTTATCATTAACAAAGCATTTGTCCAGGATATTGTCTTTCCTGCTGTGATCCCTAACATACTGCTGGAACCCAGGTAACACAGTCTCCAGGCGACATTGCTTCATGTCCCCGAGCACTATTGCCGGTGCATCGGGGTGGCTGAGTTGCAGCTCGTGAACACAGTGTCCTCTGCCGCTGGGAGGCACGTAAACAACAAACAGTCAAATACACCCGGATTCTCTAGGCAGATAAAAGGGTCTTAACGTCATGCCGAGAATTTCTACGTTGGGATTGCAGGTTTTACATTTTACTGAGTATGATCGGCACCACAGATCATTAATATACACACAAATACCGCCTCCTCTGGTTTTCCCCGAGTTCGCATCCCTGTCTGCTCGAACAAGGGTGAGTCCCGGTACTTCAAAGAGAGATTCAGGCATCGTAGATTGGAGCCAACTTTCCGTGAAACACAATAAAGAGGCCTCGAGAAATTCATGAAAGTACCTTGTGTATGTCCT